AGCCTTCCCGGTTGCTCCTGCCTTCGAAATGTGAGCCGGGGCGCTTGTGGCAGGGTCTTTGGAGTAACGCTGTTGTCGGTTGCGACAGTAAAGGCCCTCCGTGATAGCGCAAGCCCTTTCGCAGGCGGATCCGCATCCGAGGTCTTTTTGTTTCTTTCTTCACTCAGCTGCCTGAAGCATATGTGTATTGCCTTATCATGGGGTCACTTTCACTCATGGAACCCATACCCTGTGAATCCGTCAAGACAATTAGCGGGGGCAAGACAATTTTTACCGTGAAAGTTAATTTTTACCGTGGGCAGTTTTTTTTTTACCGTTGCCGTTGCCGTTGCCGTTGCCGCGAAAAGTTAATTTTTGTAACGGGGAAATTGCCGTGGCTGTTGCCGTGGCTGTTTGCCAAGGTGCAGTAGTTTCGCAGTAGTTAGTTCCAAACTACTGCAAAATTATCTCCAGCGCAGTAGTTTCGCAGTAGTTAGTTCCAAACTACTGCGGAATTAGCTCCAGTGCAGTAGTTTCGCAGTAACTACTTCCAAAATAGCCGTTGCCGTTGCCGTTTTTGTTGCCGCGTTTTTTGCCGTTGCCGTTGCCGTGAAAAGTTAATTTTGCAAGTCAATTAAGAAGTCACTAATTGCCGCGAAATGGGAATTGCCGTGAAAGTTATTTTTTTCCGTGGGACTCTCTAATTGTCTTGACGGATTCGTTGGGTAAGGAAACCTGCCATGTCCATGCTCTCAACCGGGGCTTGCCTTCAAAACAACGGTTGGCGCCGGGCCAACCGCAGGAGCTGTGCGAGTTCTTGGCCTCGTCTTGGGCCGCGATCCGCGCCAAGATCTTCCAGAGCGTGGAGCTCAGGGACCGGCCGGATCCGAGTCGCCAAGGTTGCGCCATTCGGGTCGTGCGGCCTGCAAAGTGGGGCCTGTGACGTGTCCAAAGGGGTTGTGGTTGTGGTTCTTGAGTTGGGGAACTGTTTCGGGTAAAATGTCCCTGATCCCAGGGTGTAGGAAAATCCGTAGATGCCCTGAGGAGCCCTGAGGCTTTCTCTCAGCGTTGTGGTTCACCCGGGGTTTATCCCCACTTCTGTGGTGAAAGGGAATCTCGGGTTAGTCTTATTTCTTGTATCGCAGAATTGGATTCCATTTCCGACAGCCCTGGTCCAAAGCGAATCGACCGGAGCAATGACCTGATTGGTTTCCCCTTTTGGCCCACTTTTCATCAAGGTTCCAAAGGGTCAACCATTTATTTCCAGGCCCTTTGGGCAAGTGAGGGCATGGTCATGGCTAATCATTCTTGGCTGGTCCTTGGTGTGACCGAATCGCCCAAAAGGAGAGGCCTGTTGGTTTCACAAATTGCTTTTCCATGACGCCTACAAACGGTGATCGACCTTGTGCTCAGGGGGAAGAGCAACCCAGTTTACTTTGGGAAAGACGCGATGGTCATGGACCTCTTAATGCTGTGGATGGAAGAATCTATGGAATGAAGCTCTGAAAATACTGGGATGAACCACCTACTAGCTGGAGAAAGGATGTTGTGTTTCTTGCAAGCTGGGCAGACGCCAGGAGGCTGGAATGGTAGTCTTGTCCAAAGACACCTGGGTGACGAGCCTCCTGAAGTTTGCCATGATCTCGGACTGGCATTGCCGGCTGCAGACCCTCAGGCTTAAGCTTTGCTCTTGGTATTGCCAGGCATTGCCGGACTTAGCCTGAACACGGTGTTTCTTCCGTTTCCCGTGCACAAAGCAAAGTAAACTTGTTTGCTAGCAATTCGGCCCAGAATAAAAACGCGCAACACTGCGAACAGCAAGCATGGAAGCTGAAGGATCGGCCTGCTCGATGAAAACTGATGCCCCCAGGAGTTTCTTTTGGGTTCTATGTGTTATGGGAGGGTGTGAACACTTGGCTTCCATTTGCTAAAGCCAAAATATGTGTTTTCCCTTTTCTTTTTTTTCAACGGAATCGTTCACTATTGGACACAATTTCTATTTCCCCAGGGAAACTTAAGCAAATGGAGGTTGGTCTGCTAGCTTGTTGGTAGCAAGTACTGGGAGCCAGCCGCCAAGCGCTCCACCCATGAAGGAAGGCCTGAGAGCGGATGCGAGCGGGGCAGGTGGAAATTAGTAGGCATGGAGAGGGATACGGGAGTAAGGCGCAGAGGGTTTTGTCCGAATAAATTGGGCAAACTCACAGGCGCTTTGGCATTCTTGTTTTATATGAAGAGTAGTTTTGGAATCTGAAACTATGGGGCCCGAAGTGTGTGACACTGGGTCCATGTTCAGAAGCCACGTTCGGCATATTTGGATATTTGGCTCAAGCCATCGGTCAAAAGGGTTTGCTGCCCATAGATTTTCATCAGTCCATTAATATGGGTGTTGATTTGGGGGTCCCTTGGTTTTCATTTTGTTGCTTTGGTGGAACGCTGAAAGGAAAACCATCCATTTTAAAAGTCCCCTCAAACAAGGCACGCTCATGTTTGCGCTTCCCTGAGCTGCGACCCAACAGACTCAACATAGGCTGGTGGAACCACCAAACATCCCCACACCAGGGGTCGAGACCACCCAATTATTCCCGTTCCTTTGGGGGATGCAAGCCGTTTTGCCCGTTGCTCATGTGAGACGGGGTCGAAATGACCGTGAAGCAGATCTACACGCACGTAAATTGAAAATATGCTTAGCAATTTGCATGGGAACCGATAGGCTCACATACATGTCATGAAGACATGTCTTGGATATACACCTTGTCCAACGTTATTCCCCAATACAAGTGGGTGGGGCCACCCAGTTTGTCAAATGTTTGTGGCAGCAAGTGACCTCAGATTCCCGGATGAGGGAACGACCCCTATCAATTATCCCTTTTAGGCTTCCAGATCACTGCCAAACCCCCGAAATCTATTCCCGACTGAGACAAGGTCCCGCAAAGGATGCACATTATTACACATTAAAAAGCTGCAATTCTCCAAGCCAGCTGGCACAGTTGACTTTTAAAATCCTTTAAGACCGATTCGTTTGAGAATATGTGCTATTTCCCCGGCTTGGTCTCAAAAGGAGTCGATTTCACGACTGGACATATTGTGTTTTCTAGGGCACTTGGGCAAATGGAGGTCAAGGGGGGGCTCTGCGTGATCTGCGCACGTCGAGGAATCGTGCGGTCTATCCTGTGCACGCCTGCGAGCACTTGGAGGGAGTGCCTCTTCTTCGCACGGCGGACGGGAAGTTGTGCGCCTTCGGCAGCAGCAACCTCAGGCGCGGTCTCATTGGTCAGGCGATTTTCCTAAAGAAAAATGCAGCGGTGCCTGAAGGCCGCCCCAAACCACCCCTTATCGCCTATTTGGGCCTATTGACCCGACAGCTTTCAGCTGTTGGGGAATAATATGTTCCCTGTTAAATCAAGCAACATACATGGGCGCCCTTTTTTCTCATGGAAACCCATTGTACCTCTGAGCATTGGTCAGGGGTCCGGCTCTATTTTCTTACTCGAACCTGGATGAAACAACCTGGCGCAGATGGGGGTGTTCCCCCCGAAAGTCAAGGATCATTGAAACGGGCCGCCAATCAACCACGGGTGTTGTTTAGTCCTGGGTAATCATTAAACGGCGCCCCACCTTTCCCAGTTTTCCAATTACGCCCACAGTCACAGTCAGGCAGAGGTCCGGATCCATTCCTTCTTGAAGGGTTGCTTGACACATAGCCTTTGGAAAGCCAATTCCAAGTGAATTTCCTTTGGTCGAGTGATGTTGAAAAGGAAAATCACGGGAGGCGTCGCTGATTTTGGTTTTTCAGGAGATTTCTCCCTGCAGCACTGCAGCCGTCCCTTCGGGAGCCGTCCCCCCTCCGCCCTCCCTGCAGCCCACCCTTGGAGACCTACCCTTGGTTGCCATGTCCAAGATGCAACCGCGGACCTTCTATTTGCTTAAGGGTATTTTGTATTGTCCCTCTTGGTTTTAAATAAAGGGAACCTATCGCTACTGGAGGTTTTTTTTTTGCAGGGGCTTAAGCAAATGGAAGGGACTGTTTGCCAATCTCTTCGGTTTCCACCTTGGACCAGTTTTCCAGTTGAATCCTTCAGCGACTTCAGTTGTCCTGTGGGCCCCGAACCGGTTCCTGATTTTGAGTGCGATCCATAGCATTGAATTACGCACCACAGGCGAACCTCCATTTGTAGGAAATGATGCCTATCTCAATTTGATTTTTGCCCCCTGGAAAAATGAGAACATATCCAGTAGTTTTAGATTCCCTGTAAAACCAGCAGGGGAAAATAACAAATATTCAGCAAATGGAAGCCTTTGTTCTATATGTTGAAAGCAATCCAGGGGCCCACCAGTAAGATGAATACCAGCCTGCCCAGCACACCACCCACTGCAATGCGCCATGGGTTGCGTTTCTTCACTTGCCAACTAACCCGGGACACCAATGTGTCTTTGGTTGATTTCAAAGTTGGCATCCGCCACGCCAAACAAAGTACGTGCCGGGTACTTGATTCAACGGCAGTGCCTTGAAACAAGAGGATGCCCAGAAGGCTGGCTTTCTAAGAAACAAGACTTCACTGTTGTGTGTTTCTTACTCTTTCAAGAGTTTGTTTTTCACTTTCTCTCTCTCTCTCTCTCTCTTTCTCTTTTTTTCTCTTCCTCTTTCTCTCTCGCTTTCTCTCTCTGTCTGTGTCTCTCTCTCTCTCTCACCGAGTCTGTATCTCTTTTGTTATCCTTCTCTGTCTTTATGTGTATATATATTCATATCCTATTCTATCTTTCTTGTCTCTCTGTCTGTGTTGTTTCTTGTGTTGTTTTTGTTGGCTCTCTCTGTCTCTCGCTCTCTCTCTTCCTGTCTCTCGCTCTCGTTCTCTCTCTCTCTCTCTCTCTGCGTCTCCGTCGTTTTCTTCTCCTCTCTCTCTCTCTCTTTCCTTTGTTTTGCTCTCTTCTTCTCTCGCTGTCTCTTGCTCTCTGCCTCTCTTACAATCCGGCCATTGACAGGGAAGTCCAAAGGAGCAACGGCGATCGCCAGTGCAAAGAGCTCTGGCTACAAGGTGTTTCTGATTCGAACAATGAACGAGGGAACGGCAAGCGAAGGGAAAACTGATCCATGCGTCAAACGAAGGGTTACCGTTCAGACAAACGAAGGGCGAAACAAAGCGAACGGCAAACGAAGGGTTTGCGCCTGACGCCTTTTCTTAGAAAAGGCAAACCCGTGCAGGGTTTAACCCTTTGACTCATGTGGACAAATGTAATGGGTCCTTAATAAAGAAGCGACATCAGCGACATCATTTACCCTCATGTCTTGCTTTTAATAGAGGGACCTTAAATGTCCACTTAGGTGTGTCTCAAAAGAATCCAGATGACACGAAGGAGTGGATTCTGAAGCTATTTCTCTTTTATATTATTTATTGTAAACTTTAGAATCCTTATCTTCAACCGTCATATCAGATCTTCATCCAATATTTGTATTGTAAACTTCATGTTAATTCTGAGATTATATGGTGGGCAAGTGATGTGAAATTATTCCTGGGGCTTTCCTTTCTCCACTTCCTTACCCTTGGGCCCATTCACGGTTCCCCGGTGGTTCTCGAAATGCTTGGAAGAACAAAATCCTGCACCATGTTCAAACCACGGGAAACCATTGTTTGTTGGTATTTAGGAAACAACAAGAAAACACGCAAACACACACATAAACACACACACATACACACACACACACACACACACACACACACACACACACACACACACACACACACACACACACACACACACACACACACACACACACACACACACACACACACACACACACACACACACACACACACACACACACACACACACACACACACACACACACACACACACACACACACACACACACACACACACACACACACACACACACACACACACACACACACACACACACACACACACACACACACACACACACACACACACACACACACACACACACACACACACACACACACACACACACACACACACACACACACACACACACACACACACACACACACACACACACACACACACACACACACACACACACACACACACACACACACACTTCATTTGAGAATCACACAAGATGGGCGAGTCACAAATCGATTGCTCCTTGCCTCTGCCTGCCAGAGATCCAGTTGCAGCAACCCGCTGACAAGGTCGTCCTTTCGGTAAAAGCCGGATCGACGCATTTGTGATCCAGATCGATTTCCAGCGGTTTGCTTTTCATTTGCACAACTTGCTTGCGTTTGGAAAGGGTTTCCCTAAGAAACCAAAGGGGATGTTTTTTGGGGGTCATTCCCTCAGGGACCTGCTGAGAACCAAGATGGAAAAAGGACGCCGATGCTTTTGTTCCCATGGCCATGGGATATTTGGGCAATTGCTGGTGCTCAGCAGGAAATGAGGGAATGACCCTTGTAAACCAGCCCTTGTAGTTTCCTTTTAAGGGAATCCCTGCGTTCATTTCCACATCCCCTACTGAGCACCAGCAAGTCAATCCGTATGTCCCAAAGCTAGGTGTTTTAGGCCACTGCCTTGGGCAATCTTGGAGGTTCAATACGGACCAGCAGCTCTTGCCCACGCACAAAAGCCTTTTCCTCCACAAGGACACCATGGAGGCAGGGGCACGACTTGTGCTTGAGTTTGCTGAAGAATATTGATTATTTCCCTGGTTGGTTTTAAAGGGAATCTGCCACTATCGGACACAACTCATGATTCGCTTTGGATTGGTTTTGGAGACCCACCAAGACTTCCCCACAACTCACATATCCACATCCCTGAAGCAACCCTAAGCAGGCGCTGCTTAAGCAGCAGCACACCCATGTCAGCTCCAAGTCACCTTAATCAACCCCAAACCACCCCAAAACCGCCCTCATGAAGATCTAAGCCAGCCTAACCCCCCCCCCCCCCAACTTAAACCAGCCCCCAGCAACTCCCAACTGCTTCCCAATCAGAGCCAATGACCAACTCTACTTGCAGGTCCAAGTGAGGCTGGTGATGCTGGGTATGCCCTGTGGAAAACCAGCCCTCGCAAAAAAAAGGAGCAAGCCCTAGGCAAAAGAAAACACCTTTACCCAGTAGGGCCCCTGAATGGTGTAGTAGCTTTGCCTTGCCATCGAATTTCCCGGGTCCCGGACACCCAGCTGTTTACCTGCTTTTCCTCGTAGGGAGGTCTGATTCCCTAATTTCGGGACATGAACCATTTGAGAGCGCAGACATCTTGCGCAAATGGGATTTCATCAACATGGGACATTGACGTGGAAGTCCTGCGTGGTTCCGCTTTGAGTTGGCTTTGAAGTTTCAATCCACCCCCAAAGCGGGCAATCTCAGAAAGAATGACCCGATGATTTCCGTTCTCTGCTTTTGGCGATCCAGGTTTCAGATTTGGTTTAGTTGTTTTTTTGGGGTGGCCGCCGCTCCCCACTCATTGGTAGTTTGGAAGATAGGGGGTGGTTTCCCATCTACTCTCTACAAGAGCCAAGGTCTCAAACCCAAACCACAAAATCCAAAACAACTAAGGGCGTCCTCTTGTCTCCAACCTACCATAGGTGGCGAAGCTTTGAGTACAGCTTTCAACCAAAGAGGGGGTGTACTTGGCTTTCTGGTGTCACCGAATCGCCCCTTCAAGCTTTTGGAAACAAAAGTTATTTTCCACTAAAGCCCCGGACCCCCCCCTGGAACCGAATCTCCTTTTGAACCCTCCCTGCAGGCTGCCCCTAACCAGCCCGTATCGCCTATTTGGGTGGACCCCATAGCTGAATCAGCTGAGGCAGCTCATGACTAAAAGTCGGGCTATGTACCCTGTATAACCCCTGTAGTAACCACGATTTTGCGGTATGTCCATTGGGGGGTATGCAAGTTGGCGCTTAGAATGACTAAAGCCAAAACAACCCAGGGGCCTCAGGCAGTTTTTGCCGAGGCCCTGCAGTGCATCGACCTGACCAAAGCGAAAATTCCTGTGCGAGTGGAAGCGCCCGGAGTCCGCGGACTCGAGCTGGATGACCTGGTGCCGTACCGGAAGGACATGTCGGACACCATGAAACCTGGGCTCCTTATGTGGATGCATCTTGTTTCATTTTCGGGGTAGGTTAATTAGCCCTTTTTGCTGGTTTTGAAGCACGCCAAAAAAACAACCCTCTCACCAACTCTTTTTGTATTTGGGGGGGGTTCCCCTCCACAACCCCCGCCCCCCCCCCCCCCCCCTTCGACGCGGGGGCAGAGCTGAAGCGGCGCAGGAGCTGGAAGCCATGGCCGTGCTCCAGCCGGACGTGGGCAAGAACGGGCGCCTGAAGCACCTGTGGTGCTTCATTGCGAAGCAGGGAAAAATCCCGACGCAGCCGCTCAGAATCCCGACGCAGCCGCTCAGCATCGACAGAACACACAAAGGGCCACAATCAAAACGCGGGTGGATGAAGGTTAGTAAGGGGCAACCGAAGGGGCAATCCCAACCATAAATAGCTGCGGCCGCCCTCTTAATTATTTTTATGCTTCTGGGTAGACCATTTTTAATACAGGGTTTTGATTATGACAAAGGGCCCCAAACAAGTTTTGTTGGGGGAGAACACGGCCCCTGGAGATCTTCGTTTGCCATGTCCCTCGTATGGGGAAGCCTGGATACGTGGAATTGCGGACCCTCAGGGAATCCTCGAGGGCCGATCCTTCAAGGTTTGTGAGCTGTTTGGGACCATTGCCTGTTTTCAGGTTTTAAGGAGAACGCCGAAATGGGTGTGTCTTCTTTTTTTGACAGGGCACCCATTTTTCTTCGTAGTTCCCAGCCATCCGGTTCCTTATGTTTTCAGCTTTTGAGTTGTTTTGGTGTTGAACCCACAAGTTAAACTTTTAGCAGGCGATCTGAAAACGGACCGCCCAGTTCTTTCCAGGTCCTTTGGGAAAGGGACCTTGGGCTTCAGACGAATTTGAGATGGGTTTTTCTCCGCTGCCAGGTTGAAGGGGTGGAAGCTACTTCCGGTCCATGGCACAGGAGAAGAAGCTCTGGTCGTGTCGTTGGACTTCGTGTGGCAGACGGTGGCCGAGGCAGATGCCAAGATCCGAACGGCTTTGCTTGAGGCGGGATGGGTTTTGCCAAGCAACGGAGAGAGTTAACCCAATTTAGCAAAGGATACGAAGCCACCTTTCACTGGGTGCTTCCGAATGGGGGCTATAACAGAGTTTCTGGGGGTCATCAAAGTGAGAAACGGGTGTTTCTGCAGGATTCTGCAGGTTTACACTTGGAAAGGGGGCGTTTTTCTAGGGTCATGAGTTTGAATGTTTCTGGGGGTTCAAAGTCAGAAGCTGAGGCTTGTCACTTCCGACCAGTTCCATTCGAAGTGCGGCAACTGATTCTTTGTGGGGCCGGATTTACCAGGTCTCCCATGTGGCTTCAGGCTGGAGTCTACTTGCTACAAAGCAATGTGGGCGCGCCCGCATGGCGCTTGCTTTCCGCGCAGGTCGCTAGCCACTTGGGTGCTGAGTTAGCCCACACGTCCTTTATTTCATTGTTTAAACAAAGACAAGTCAAAAGCGGATGGGGGTGCGATTTGATCTAGGCCCTCTCTTGAACATCCGCCAAGAGAAACAAGACAGCGAGTCTTCAAAATAGGGGCCTGGTTTACATGTTTTAAACCCCTTGTTTAGCAGCCACAAAAAAAGGTGTTCGGCCTCCGGACTTGTTCAATGGCGGTGTTCCCTTTTGCTGCCGGTGCTTTGGGTGAGCGGTTGCCCCAGGCCCGAATCACTTGCGGGAATGAGCGAGAGGTAGCTGGAATGACCGACGGGTGTATGAACCTAACCCCCGCAAAGGAAACCATACAAAGTGGTTTACAGGGGTCTTTCCCTCATTCATTCCCTACTAATAACCAGCAAGGTCAAAATTGGATGGTAGTCGGGGACAGCCGGGCCCCTTGCCAATGCAAGAAGCCCCTTGGCTTATATTTGGTGGGTAGACTCTTAGACTCCTTCCCCAGTTTTTGGTTTGTTTTGGTTTGTTTTGACTTGTTTTCCGGTTTTGCTTACTCCTGTGTTTCGCCCTGGATTTGCCTGTTGGCCAAGTTTTCGGACATACTTGACCGAGGGGCGCTGAAAAGCATATAAGCATGGAGGGGGCGTGCGGGCTCCGAAATTGGGATTCTTCCTCATGCCCCAAGTTTTGTACTGATGGATAAAATCCCGCACCACCCACTCTGGATTGATGATTTGGAAGTAAATACCAACCAACTATAGTTTCCCACGCCTTCGGTGGTGCGAGAGGTGGATTTCGCAAAATACCCCTTTTTTGGACGGCGCTGCCTTGTGCTTTTGCGGAAGCCTGAGCCCAGCTGAGGCGAAGCTGAGCATGTGGTCCGGCTGCTGGTGGGGCTCAGACGCTCAGCTCCCAGAAACAATTAATGTCAACCCCGCATAAGTGGAGGAAATGGCTAACCACTCGTGATGTTTGTTTTCTTTGTTTTTTCATCCCCGGATTAATCCGAGGTAGTCGCGCTTTTGGCGAGCTGGACAAAGTGCGCTCACCATGGTGTAGGTCCTGAAAAGAGCCCAGTATTACAGATGCTGAACATGATTGGACTGCGAAAGCAATCACACTGCATCCAAGTTGAGGGAATGTTCAGGTACTGTGCCCCTTCAGGTTTCGCCCTACCCACTAGGAAACTCCAGCTCGTATGCCGCAGGTACCTACAAGGAGGGTGGGGTATGTGTGTGTTTTTCGTTCGAAACACTGCTAAACACATGGTTTTCATTAAGCGTGTTGAGTTGCTTCATTATCTCCCCAGTTGCCCCAGCGGTGCCCTTTTCCGTGTTTTTGGGGAAGGGTTCCCCTTTAAACTCAACCAACCAAACAAATCGGATGCCGATGTGCTCTTTTGGCATGGAAATCCAGTGGGCATTTGAGTTTCACAAGTGTGTTTCAACCTATTTTGCTTGCTTATGTCGTGCCGATTAGGGCGCCCCCACCCCGGTGACTGATATGCGCATGTACCGAATGTTCCCGATTTTTTTTTGTCAGGGTACCTTTGCAGGATTCCTGACATTTGGAACAGCACTTTGTGGGGGCCTTTCACACAACCAGCCACAAGCTAGACTTTTGGCTGGCAGGTGTTCAGCATGTGAGCAGCGCCCAAAACCCCTCTTGGCATTTTTAGTAGGAGAGCTCCGGCTTGGGGCGCATGTGGGTATGTGTTCTTTTCAGATTTCCTTTAAACCAAGCTTACAAGGGTACCCTCAGAGAACACAGCTACCGTGTTTGTCTTGTCCTGACCTGTCAACTCCGCTGCGTTTGGTGACGGGCTGAGGCGAGAACGACGGCCTGTCTCACCTCTCCGCCAAGTCCCGGCACAGTTTGCTGGCCTCCTTCTTCCCTCTTACAGTGCAGAGCCAGTGCTTGAAACTCGGCCGAACGTGGACCCTGGATTTATATCACCCAGCTGTTGAAACTCGATCTGTCAGCCTTTTGGTTGTGTTTTTTGGTCCACATTTAGTCAAGGTCTCAAAACGTGACCGCCTTAGATTTCCAGGTCCCGTAGGGGCAAGTGAAATCATGAGACTGCTCCCAGCTTGTGGGTGCGTCGAACAGTGGTTGCAACCCTTCGTTTCTGCGCTGGTTTCAAAGGAAAACCGAAAGGAACACAAATTGCAGGGTTTCCCAATTTGACAAATCGTTTGCTTTGAAAGGCTCCCAATGCAGCCTTATTGAGTGAGACCTTACCTTGTCCAAGCAAATCCATGTGGGGCCTCCCAGTGCCTGGCGTATCGAAGGAACGAAATTCGACGCCTGCCATTCTTCAAGAAGGCCCAGGACGGCTTTACCAGCCTGCCCCTCGACTCTCGACTTTGGGAGAGGTCCAGCTTCTGGGGATGCTTGTGATATTTCCAATTGTTGCACCGTTGAAGAACCCCCGATTCCCCCCTGCAAATGCCAACAAACCATGGTTTCAACCATGGTTTCTTAGGTGGTGCAGGGCTTCATCTATCCACAGTATGTCCCCCTCTTCTCACTCGAGGTTTGTTTGGCCATCCAAGCAGGGATTTCGGCTTAACTTGGGTGCATTTTGCTTGGATGTTAGGACTGAACAACTTTTTGCCTACTGATGAGTTTTCCAGTAAACCACTAAAAGTTAAACTGTTAGCAGGGGAGCAGATTTCGCAACCGAGCTAAGTTTCCCCTTCTTGGGTGGTTAGCAAAAATCCGTTGGATGGATGGCCCCCCGAGGACTCATGGTCTAAATGGGCTAGCTTTGAGTTTCTGCGTGCGATTGTGTGTGTGTGCATTCGTATTTGGGTGTGGCTCAAAATTAAACAGGAGGGGTTACGCAGGTTGTGGTCCATGTTTCCACTTACCAGGGTTCCATTTTGGTATCGGTTTTTTGAGCCACCGCCATTTGTTTTGTTTGTTTTTTGGTGTGTCGCTGTGTCTGTGCGTTTGTGTCCGTATTTGTGTATGTTGTGTCGGTCTGTGTGTGTGTGTGTTTCTTACTTTGTTTGGTTGTTCCTTGCGAGTGTTTGCGTGTTTGTGTGTTTGTTTGTTTGTTTGTTTGTTTGTTTGTTTGTTTGTTTGTTTGTTTGTTTGTTTGCCTGTTTGTTTGTTTGATTTGTTTGTTTGTTTGCTTGTTTGTTTTGTTTGTTTTGTTTGTTTGTTTTGTTTTGTGTTTGGTTGCTTTGTTTGTATGTGCCTTTGTTTGGGTGTTATTTTTGGCGTGTGTGTCTGTGTGTCTGTGTGTCTGTGTTTATTTGTTTGGTGCTGTTTGGTTTGTTGTGTTGTGTTGTGTTGTGGTGTGGTGTGGCGTTGGTGTTGGTGTTGGTGTGTCTGTTTTGTGGGGTGGTGGGGTGGTGTTGGGGTGTGTGTGTGTGTGTGTGTTTGTGTTTGTGTGGTTGTGTGGTTGTGTGTTTGTGTGCTTGTGTGATAGGTTTTGTTTGTTTGTTTCCTTGTGTGTGTGCATTTCTGTATCTGTTTCTGTGTTTGTGCCTCTGTGCCTGTGTCTGTGTCTGTTTCTGCGTTTGTGTGTGTGTGTGTGTGCGTGTCTGTTTCTGTTTCTGTGTGTGTCTGTGCGTGTTGTGCGTGTGCGGGTGCGGGTGCGGGTGCGTGTGCGCGTGCGGGTGCGCGTGCGCGTGCGCGTGTGCGTGCGTGTGCAATGCGCGTGCGCGTGCGCGTGCGCGTGCGCGTGCGCGTGCGCGTGCGTGTGCGTGTGCGTGTGCGTGTGCGTGCGCGTGCGCGTGCGCGTGTGCGTGTGCGTGTGCGTGTGCGTGTCTCTGTGTGTGTGCGTGCGTGTGTTTGTGCGTGTGTGTCTCTCCCTCCGTGTCTCTTTGTCTGTTTCTTTGTCTCTCTGTGTCTCTCTTTGTCTGAGTGTGTTTGTATTTGAAGGCGGGTATACGGGGAACCTGCCCATGAAGTAGAGGCTGATTTGAGAACGCCGGAGGAGAAGGTTTGGGCTTTGAACGCATTTGCTGACCCCAAAAAAGTGGACTCTTTCGGTTTCCCATCAAGCTTACCTGAATAGAATGCTCCCCAGCTACCAAAAGGCACAGACTGGCGAATCTAACATGCAGGTGGCTGTGGGTCAAAACCAATCCGATGGTACCATTTTGGTTGGTAGGTGCACCAGCCATTTCAGAGCCTATTTTAGTGGTTGGATTGGGATGTTCACTGGGGGAATCTGGGATTTTGACCCATGGCCAGGTCAGAGACGCGGTACTGTTGCCTGGATCCCGGGCACTCGCGCGCCGGAGCGCTGGAGAGACTGCGGCCCGCGAGCGCTGTGCTTTTGGCATGGCCCACGGCTGCTTGGCCGTTTCGGCCCTACATGCTGCAAGCAAACCAACCACCTGGGGCCTTGAACGACTGTTTCAAAGCAGGTGCGGGCCGAAAAACCACTTCTGAGGCAAACGACCGGAACCGGTTCGAAATCCCTAGCCTACGCGCGCCTTGACTTTGCCAGGCCTGTCTACTTTCCATTTTTCCAGTTGGAATGGCCGTGTGCATTCATGTGCACAATCTAGAATCGAGAAGCCACTGCTAAGTACAGTTATGACACTTCAGATCAGAGCATAATGAGTGTAGCTGCATGCATGTGTTCTTCACAGCCTTTGCCCAGTGCGCCTGGCTTGCTTTACAGACCTGTCCCTTTCCCCATGGAACCAAGCAGCAAAACAAGAAACGACGCAGACGCAAATTGGTTTAGAACCTTCCTCATTATAAGAAAGGGCACCCTAAAAAAAGGCTTGCTTTTGGGCGGCCGGACTCCTCGATTTGTTTTTTTGCGGGGGGAACATTGGATTTTCGGAGGGCGGTTTTTCGGCCCGTTTTCGGCCCGTTGTCTTCCGTTTTCGGCTCGTTTTCGGCCCGAAAACCCGTTTTCGGGCCGAAACTGGCGATGGACAAAACCAGGAAACATCCAGAACCAGGCGTGCAACAACCAGAACCGTGCGTGCAACAACCAGAACCGCGTCCGTGCAAACAACTGTTTCTGAATTGATGGGTTTTCGGTTCCTTTTGGATGGGGCCATTGGGGCGACCAATCCTTCTTACCAGCAGAAGCCTCCTTTGTAAAGATTGGAAAGGGTTGTTTGGGAAACCACCTGAAAGACACCCATTGGGTGCGTGAGGGAAGAGTGATTTGACCCATTGGCAAAGCCGCTCAACTATAGTGTTCAATGTTCGTCGACCCCACATGCTGCTGATGCTGGCGGTACACATATGTGGCTCTGCCCGCGGAACCGAAGGGTCTTGAAAGTGTGCAGTTCGCGCAGCCCCCTTCTCCATGCCTTTCCCTTTTGCATGAAAGCCTAGAAGAGAAAACAAAGGGATCAGTGCATTTCAGACTGCTGCGGCACGCTTGAGACCCTGCGGGTTGGCCGGGCAGGGTTGGTGCCAGTCTCAGAACCTCTAAGAAGGCTTTAAGAGCCTTTCTCGGGTGAGGAACAGGATCCGTACAAGTGGGATTCACGCTTCGTGGACCTTTCACTTTGTGAGGACAAGATTTGGGTGTGTCTTGTTTGAGGGTAACTTTTGTGGCTTTTCACGAAAAGCAAAAGGAAAACCACAGTTTCGGGGGTCTCCTAGAAAAGACACCAATTTAGTGGCACATGCAAAGATCTCAGGAAGTGAGAAGTGCGCGACGTGGTCTCCGTTTACAGTTCCAACACTGCGGGGACTGGATAATGTTAGGGTTTTTTTCTCGGGGACGCACGTTGTTCGTGCAAAACGGGTGGCAACGGACATCAAAGCATGCAAATATTGTCAGCCAAAGGGTCCATTTGCAATTCAATTTCAGCACGTGTTGCTTTTCTAGGTGCGTTTGTAGGAGTTGCATGGCGAAAACTGAGAGGTAAACTTAGTGGACCTCTCTTGCTCAAAGACGACCTTTTGGCTATTTGGTTTTTCCAACTTTGGGTCTTGTTTTGTCAAGGTTCTGAAAGATTATTTCCAGATCCTCTGAGCAAGTGAAGCCGCACTTTGATCCGATTTGGGGAGGCCACCCGAGAAACGGGGGGGAAGATGTCCTGCTCGCGGATGAGGGGGAGCTGAAGCCGATTTATGAACACCTGGACGTGCGCCTCTGCAACGGGGAGATGTTCATGCTGGAGTTCATCCTGCCGTGCTTACCCCAGGCCTTCCATCAACCCTATCTGCTTGCTGGTGCTGAGGGAACGCCCTAGTGTCAGCGTGATGTGGCTCCGCTTGGGGTTCCCCCATTTCAGGCTCTAGATGTTTTGTAAAACTTGCCAAATCATTCGTCAAGCCCCCCATGTGCCCTGCTCAAAGCTCCCTGTAACATGGCGTTCTCAGGGGGATGGTCGGTCCTTTACCCCTTAGAGAATTCAGACCAATTCCTTACTGATTCTTGTCTTATCCTTAAGGGATATGTTTTGGCACCTCAATGGGCGCATGTTGGTTTCCTTTGCGCGTCAACGAGCGCATTTCGATGTTGAGAACCTCTCGGGGTAGGTGCGTGGATGGGTGCATGGATGCAAGACATATATCATATATGTATATTGTGTATGTATATATATATATATCATATATGATTCTATTTACCTAAAACCACGGAAGCGCACAGGGTGAATTTCAACAAGTAAAATTTGTTTTCCCGATTGTTTGCGCACTTCCTTGGTTGCTGGGCGAGTGCCCATATTAACTTTCGGCAAACACACAACAGGGCCTATAACCAGAAGTACTCAGGGGTGCACTATGAGTATGAGAATGCATCCAGACGGAAGAGCAGAAGTGAGCTTTTAGCCTGGCCAAGGCGCCGGCTGCTCGGAAGTCAAGCACAGCTCAAAACTTGGGTGGCTCCCAGCCATCCGGTTCCTTAGCCTTTTAGCCTTTTAGTGTTTAGTGGTAGTTTCCTTTTAACCCACTAAAAGTTAAACTTTTAGCAGGGGATCTCAGGGCAGCCCAGAAAAGAAGCAGAAGCAGGGCTTCCTTGTCGTGGAGAGTTTCATGGTTGGTGGGTTTGCCGAGTACATGACACCTTCTAAGGGCCCATGTCCGCACATTGCCTTGGGGGCCTTTGGTTTCCCCTCCTACTTGCTGCCTGCCTGAGGTGAACCTGCCATCTTGACCAGAACAAATGGGGCCCTACACAGGTCCATGTTGGTGGGCCTTAGGGCCCCCAAACTGAACAGTTGTTTTTTCCTTTTTTCAAATTATTATTAACAGGAATCGATTTCAATACTGGAAGAACATACCAGAACCCCATTTGCTTTTGCACCCCCTGTTCTACCTTAGGTTTGGCATCAATTTGGGGTTCTTGTTCTAGCTAGGTCTCCAGTAGTGCCCTTTCTCACCCCTTTTTTGGTTGGCAGGGTTCCCCTACTAAAATAGACACAAGAGAAAAAAAAAAAAACATCGGGCACCAACTTATTCTAACCTCGCAAATCTGGAGGACCCAGGGTTTCATTCCCAGAGCCCCCGAAATTCATGCCCCACCCAAGGACCAACCCCCAAGGGCATAGATGGTGATGCTGGTTATGTTGTTGTCGTTGGCAATTTGTCGTTACAGCTCCTCCTCTTTCTTGGGTGCGTTGGATGGATTTCGCAACCATCTGTGAGCACCCGCCAGGGCCATAGATTTGGACCGAGCCCCTGCGCAGGCCTGCCTTCGAGGCGCTTCGGCCAAGCCGTATCTGGACCAGCTGCAGGACACGGAATGGGCTTGTTCGCCAGTTGGAACCCATCCCCGGGAAAACATAGATCAACATATGGGTATGGCTCAAATTTTAAGAGCTAGGGCAAACCGGAGGTTTTAGTCTTTGGTTCCATTTTTCCAGCAGCCATTTTAGTACATGTTTTTGAGCCACGGTGGTTGATCAACTTGGGTATGGCTCAAAATTCAAGAGCTAGGGCAAACCGCAGGTGTTAGTCTTTGGTTCCATTTTTCAAGCTGCCATTTTATGACCTGTTTTTGAGCCACAGCCATATCTCCAGCAGTCATAGATTCCCTTTCATTAAGAAATCAGAAGAAGACACCTGGGTGTGTCTCTTGTGTGGCTGTTTTGGAGGTTCTGATGGGTGTGTAGGGGTATTTCATTTGCCATCAATCTCCGAGAGATTCCAATTGCCTTTGCAGATGGTTGATCAACTTGGGTATGGCTCAAAATTCAAGAGCTAGGGCAAACCGCAGGTGTTAGTCTTTGGTTCCATTCTTCAAGCTGCCATTTTATGACATGCTTTTGAGCCACAGCCATATCTCCAGCAGTCATAGATTCCCTTTCATTGAGAAAACAGAAGAAGACACCTGGGTGTGTCTCTTGTGTGGCTGTTTTTTGCAGGTGGGTGATCAACTTGGGTATCGCCTTATGAAGTCTTGTTTTTTTGGGGGGGCGACTGAGTCACATCAACGGAACATGAGGCTTGGTGGCTCCCAGCCATTTAGCATTTTAGCCTTTTAGTGCTTCGTTCGTGGATTTGCATGTAACCCACTAAAAGTTAGACGTTTGGCGGGGGATCTGAGGACAGCCCAGGAAGGGAGGCACAGTGGTATTGTCCTTTTGCTGTCCTTTTCCAGAACCAAATGTTCTACAGACGCCCTGCCCAACTAACAGTCGAGGAGCCCTGCTGTTGCTTGGCCCCCAGGGATGAAAATTGGTTCCTCAAAGGTGGTGCCTCGCAGCCATCCACAGTAGCAAGGCGATAACCCTCAATGATCCTTAACTCCCTTGGCTTTCACTTTCGATATTCTAGGGGACACTTCCCCATTCTGAACCCAGGGATCCGGATCTTTCTAGAAAGCCATTGGAATTTCAGACAAAAACAGGGATCAGTCTTTGAAAAGAACGATGGTTGAGAAGAAATCTGACGCTGGGAATCAACCCCGAGAAATCTGGGGTTTTGAGCTCCGGCGCCATGGACTCACGCCCTGAGTTCCGGAACTTGGCACTGTTTGGCACTGCTTGGCTTCGGTGGCCATGGGAAGTCACGAAACAATAGACAGGTTTTGGCCAACCCAAGTGAGTGAGTGCCTGACCTTTGTTCAGCCGAAAAAATTGCCTGGCATTTTAGTACATGTTTTTGAGCCACGGTGGTTGATCAACTTGGGTGTGGCTCAAAAACTTCAACTGGAGGGGCAAACCGCAGGTTTTGGTCCATGTTTCCACTTCCCAGGGCAAGCCATTTGGGTACCGGTTTTTTGAGCCACAGCCACATATGTTGGCCAACCCACTCAGGAAGTGAGTGCCTGACCTTTGTTCAGCCTAAAGATGCCAAAGCCCACGACAACAAGAATACAATGATGTCTGCATTTGGTGCCTATGTTTGTTCCAGCAGCCTCCGACTCTTTCGGGTCTCCAGAGGACTTTGTGATTGTCGACAAGTCCTTGAACGTCACGGCGGCTGCCAGAGAACTCGCCTTCGTACCGTGCAGGGCCGGACTGGTGCATAGGCCAGAGGAGCTGCTTGACCCGGAGCTGGAAGTGACCCAACGCTTCGCGGCGTGCTTGGGCAACTTCATGCCCGTGGACTCTCGGTTAAGTGGTAGGCCAATTTGGACACACCCATGTATTTAGCTTTGTGAGCCCTTTGGTCCTATTGGTGTTTAGGGGTGGCTGCAAAAAATACGGTGTACTCTGTATACATTGGCATTCTCAGGTCCACAGCCAGCGTTTTTCCAAGTTAGTACAAACCCTGTGGAAAGTGTTTGAACTTTCCATGTGTTTTTGTTGCAGGGAGTTCCAAGATTGCTGCAAGTGTAGAGCGAGGCAGGGATGCGTAAGCCCGCGAAGCAGAACCACGGGCTGGATGTTGAATCTGTTCAGCTGTGCAACTGATTTCGGGCGTTGGATTTACAGGGCATCGTGGCCCTAAATGTTTTACCTATTTCTCCAGTGGACATCCCAGGCACATGATGCAGCAACACACCCCGTGCTTTGTTTGCGTATGACCAAGACACTGCCGGAAGAAAACACATTTTTGCAGTGGTGTCCGGCCAAATTCCGGATGTGCGTTGCGTGTGGCACCACCCCGCAGCCCCCACAACACCCCATCACACCCCAACCACACCCCCACCACACCCCCCAACCCCCACCAACCCCCACTAACCCCCACCACACCCCCACAACCCCTCACACCCTAATGAATTGCAAAGTCTTTGTTTGCGATCTCCAACAAGGCCAAAGCATCCTGCGTTTGCAACTACTCACTCTCTGAGTTGACGGACTTTAAACTTTTTGGGGAGACCATTTTACAGTGAATGAAACGTGTGGTTACTTGTTGGCCTCAAATCCACTGAGGCAGTGAGGCAACAAATACATGCGATTTTCGAACCGCCGGCAAAAGCATTAGGTTTTGGGGCTTCCCGGCTATGCCACCGCAGGACTCTGTGCGCGTACGCCTCCCCCCCCCCTCTCCCACCTCCATGCCAAATTCCGACTGCTGAGCAACTCTCCCGGGTGGGAATCCTTTGGGCATGTTTAATCCAATTGCCTGTAGAATGTCCTGGGTTTCTTTGCTGTTCTTGCAGCTGGTTTAGTTTGAGTTTGTTATGTTGCAGTTTTTAAGGGGCTGCAAAAGGGCCGTATTTTTTCTGTTACCATTCCACGATTTGGGGAGGAATTTATTGAGGAGGACTGGTTGGCCCAAGAAGTGCTCTTTCCAACCTATCCAGTGCAAATCCCCTGGCTGCAACCTTCGAGGGACACCCCATTCAACGACCGCTTAAAAAAGAGTGCCGAATAGTTTTCGCCGCATCGGAATCCATTGGGGGTCTAGGATGAGTCATTTTGCGAGTGGCAGGGGTGCTGACAAAGAGCGCTCTGAAAAGAGGGTAGAACATTGGTATACCATGTCCTTCCATTTCCATTTTTAAAGGGACAAATCATCCCCGAGCCGAATGGAGCAAATTTTGGGGCAAGCGAGGAGTGGATGAATCTATACTGCGCCCTTCTGAAGCGCCTGGGTTTGCAGAGCACGGTTCCACCAGCGGTCCTGCTGAAATGTGCAAAGCACCTGGACTCTCACAAGGACTGAGCCGGACCGAACCGGACCGGCTGAAGGCAAGATGGCACGCAAAAAAAACAACAACAACAACAACAACTACGACTGTGGATGGACGAATTCCTGCACCTAAGAAACTCTGGAATTATGACTTCCTCTGTAAATACCCAGGATTTCAATCAGGTGCAGGATTTCGTCCATCCACAGTAGGGGCAGGTAATTACGTGGTTTGCCTAGTCTTTCTCCCTTTTGTTGCAATCAACAAGTTTGGTTTTTTACTGTTGCAAACAAAAAGTTGACAAGCAAAAAGTTTGGTTTATTACTGTTTTTGACCAATCCGCTCAGGACGTGAGTATATTGTGGTTTTAGACAACCTTTTTTGCCCATAGGTGAGCTTCCTAGGTGTGACTTTTCATGTCGCAGTATGGAGACCCCGGATTAATAAACCCCAGTTTATTAATACGGGGGTGTCCCTCTGGTTTGTTTGGGCATTGTTCACTTTTGGAGGGGAACACCCCCATATTAATAAACTGGGGTTTATTAACCCGAGGTCAACATTAGGGAGACCCCTGCAATTACTGAATGGCAGGGCTCTTCTTCTCGAAATGCACGGCCCTGTGCTCTTCGGCACGGCATCTCTGACCTAAGGGCATGCGCAGGCATTCTGGAATCCTTCCAACTGGCCCCCCGAAAAATGGAATCACAAGGCGGCCCCCTAGAAAAATATCCATGTATAGCGGACTGGACAAATGGAATTGGGGGACCCCCCCCTCCCCCCTATTTCTAAGTATCCGTGGCCAAAGGGGCGCGATGCATGGGTGTTTTAGTAATATGGAGGTGACGTGCCACTAGGGATCTGAACTGCGATATGGCGTAAACAAAAGAAAAAACACATCCAACAACGCTGGTTGCCACCAGCACAAGCTTGTGCCGCATGTGTGTAAGCCTTGCACAAAAATAAGCATTTCCTTGATCCCATGAGCAAGGTCATGACTTCAGTTGGCTTCTCTTGATATGGCTCCCAATTAAAAAAATAGATGGGTTCCTCTAGATTAGTTGCTTGCTTCATGGTTCCCTTTGAAGCCATCAGACAAAAAAGAGTGCCCTCAATGAAAAGGAAGCTCGACGCGCCGAATTTGACAATCTCAACGCGCATAGGAGCGCTCGGTGTCCGAGGGCATTCCGGAGATGTCCTTCTGCTTGGTGGAAGCCTGGGCTCATGCTTGGCTTTTGCACGCCGGCGCCGCTCGGATGGATGTGATTGCCTGTGCCTCAACCACCAAACCACCAATCAGCGGGAACCTGGTAGATGCCTGTGTTTTGCCGGGTGAGGTAAACCTCCCATTCAGCGTCAAGACAGCGGATTGGTGCACGTGGGTGAGGCTTGAGCCCCACACCGGTCCGATCAAAACGGGGGAAAAAAACAGACGCAACGCTTCGATTGAGTAGGTAAGACCAGGGATAGGTGAAGCGTGGTGATGACACATGTAACCTAAAGGACTCCCAAAACCGGCCCTCGTCCTGAAGGCTCATGGAGATGTCATATGTGGGGTGCTGGCTCGCAGGCCAATTGCATGTTTCCCAGGTCACCCTGTCGCGCACCGGCGAAAACCATGACCAGCGGCAAAAATACCACGGCCCAAATGCACGACGGGTGCATCAGGGGCAAAAAAAACACACTGGCCGGATGCCAACTTTGCCTACTCATGGGCGAGCAGTTAGTTTCATAAAGGGATGTCCGATGGTTTTCCCGTATTTGCGCGTTGTCGTACAGAGGGTGTCGCAATTTTCTTGCTGAGACCTGATATTATGTTGCAACGTTGGTATTTGGCCAGGTTTCTATGAAGCATGGCTTTAAAGGCCAGTTAGAACATCGCTTTTACCAGCCGGTTTCTAGAGTTCCCTTCTAAAGCATGCGGTTTGTGTATGGACATGCATATAATATCCTTCAAGGGGTGCCGTTGGAAGTCATGTGTCGTGGGACTTTAACGTTGTGCCCCGTCCTTGTTCTATCTTTTTCTGGTTTTGTGTCCTATTTAATTGAGGGGCGCGGCGTCCTTCCCCGGCCAGGCTAGCGTCCCGGCTCTCAAGGAAGTAGCCGAGCATCACATCTTTGTGACCATGAGCTGGACACAAGAGCAAGTCAAGGAGGATGGGTCTGGACTCCAGAAATCACGTGCTCACCCATCAAGATCACATGAAAGGGGGTTCCTTCTGTTCAGGTTGGGAAGCGTTATGCATCCCATGAAAGGGGGTTTCCTTGTTTTCAGGTTGGGAAGCGGTGGAATTTGCAGGATTCGATCCTCGCTTTCCTAGTCCGCCCCACCCTCCAGTGGTGAAGTCGTTTCCCTGGAGGGGATCTTCAATCAGATCTTCGCTGGTGTTCCGTCCGAATGAGCGATCGATTCCCTCAAGTTCGGTATGACTGTTCGAACAGCTGTTGCCTAACGCTGTAACCTCTAAATAAGGCTTTAACGGCCTATCGTACTATCACAACAACCAGGGACTGGTTGAAATCTAAACCCAATCCACGCCGCCAAGGTTGACCTAAGGGTTGCCAAATTCTCAAATTCTTGTTGGTTCAGTAGGCAGGGAATGAGGAAATGCCCCCCAGAACAACCATCCCTTATGGTTTCCATATTTTTGGGAATCCCCCAAACGGTTCATGACCCCAACACCCGGACTGGGTCATTCCGTATCGCAGCAAGACTATCAGTAACGTGTTGGGTCCGAATGGGGGCAAATCTGTTTGACGGCTCTGACTTCCATTAGCGAAAACAATTCCCTTTGAGTTAAACTACCATTTTGCCAGGGGGGGGGGGGGGTCCTAAAAGAATATGACGCCCATATACCTCCAAGGATGGTGGTTTTTCGCATGCCGCGCACTTTGTCTCGCGCGTTGATTCGCGCTTCGCAGGAGGTGAAGCGTATGGCGTCCCAGCGCAAGGGCGACGGAAAGGAGGGGGCTCTGAGGCAGGGTGAGTCCAGGGGATGAAGAAGGGAGCCACATGCTGAGATTGTGGGCTCCTGCAAAATGACTACCCTGCCACCAGACAAGGAGCCGTTCCACGTTCGGGAAATGGTCCCTTCAAAAGGCAAATGGTCCCAACCAGGACCCCCCCGAACGTCAGGTTCCACGTTGATTGGTGGGAGGGTACATTTTCAGAGTTCTCAAAATCACTTTTTGTGGAGTGATTTCCCTTTAAACCACCAGTTCTAGGTCCCCCAGTGCTGCCCTTTTACCCTTTTTGGTGGGAGGGATCCCCTACTGAAATAGACTACAGCAAAAAGGGTACCCTTATTCTAACCTCTCTACTCGAGGACCTAGATTTGGACGTGATCTCAAGGAGGTCGCTTTGATGGACCCGGCAACTTGTGGGTAAAGAGTAAAGCCCAATATCCCAAACCTGATTACGAGTTCGGGGTCAGAATCGGGCCTGCCCAAGTGCTCTTCCAGTAAGTATTGCTGAGTGCCGCTTTAGAATTGGTGGAGCTTTACTTCTGGGCTGCTGGATTGGTTTATCAAGTACCGTGTTTTGATCCGGTACTGTTCTGAATTGGCCCAGAAAACCAACAAAGACTGTGTTTTGCTCCACCCTACACATGTCATGCCTTCCCTGCCACCCAAGGAATACCTTGGGGAACATTGCTTTGCGATTCCTTCCCATCTCCGAATTGCTCGCCAACGCTGCCCAACTTGCCAATATTATAGATTACATAAATATATATAATATACATATATATATACATATATATATATATATACGTGCGCTTCTGCAGTATTTGGCCCCCGCACCGGTTGCCCATGCGTAGCGTGATCGATCCCAAAGAGAGTCGTTCGGGCATAAGCTAGCTTTCAAACTTCCACAGCTTTGTGAACGCATAGTGAACTCATGAACCCAGCAACTGGCTTAACCCAAGCTAAGTGGCTGAGGTCAGTTTGGTTGAACATTGGATGACCATGTCATGTTGGCTCTCACATATCAATTGAATCCGTCTAAGTGTCCCAAAGAACACCTGCTCGTTGGTAGGTGGCTGGACATCTTCAGGCATCCGAACTTAAACTGGTGATAAGCATACCACTGACTCAAAGATACCAAACCCCGCTCAGACCAAAGACCTGTGGGAACCCTTTGTATGTTGCATGTTTGCGTGTGGGAGGTTACGTGGGCGGCCAAGGTGGCCTGCAAAAGGCCCAGTGTTTGTTGTGGCTTTGCCCCTGAGTCCCCGGGTTTCTCGATTTCTCTAATCAGCGGAACCCCTATATGTATGTTTTTCTTTTGGTATCCGTTTAACATGTTTCTGAAAAGAGGGCGCCCTCTATTTCCCCCTTGGTTCACATCGCCCTGCCACGAACCTCACTTCAAAAGCTGATGTTTGACACCCAAAGGGGAAATCGAAGGTCGACCCCCGACTTCTCAGCCTAGCGAATTCTGGCTTTGGGCGAACGTGATCCGAACCCCGAGGGCTGACATTTTCATCAGCAGTTCCCTTTCTGTCCAAAAGGCGCAGTGGTGGTCTCAAGACCCAAGGGAAATATATTCAGAACCTGCACAGCAAACAGGGGAACCATCCGGAGTGTTGACC